TTGTTGTTGGGGGCAATATGCTGACTCTGTAAACCGCTTAGAGAGGGCTGAAAGCCCTATGAAACGGTATATAAGTCTAACTGCTATTGCTATTGGCTCTAGGTCATTTAGGATTTTGAGCAGAGTAACCATTACTTATATGTCCTAGTTTCACATTTTAACATAAAACAACACTGTGTATCAATATTTGTTTTCTTAGATTTATATTCTGCATTTGCTTACAAGAGCTCAAGACAATTCACAAAAGTGTTTAGCAGCAGACCCGTGAATCTGGTGGCACTGAATGGACCAAAAACACCAAATAAATTTCCATAACCAAAATTGGCTTGAGCCTGGGGCTTCCTAATCCTAATCCAATACCTTCAATCACTTCATATTGACTGAATCATAAATAAAAATGTGCTTTGGGGTGTGGGGTGGGGAATGTGCTGCTATCACCGAAAAACAAAAAAACTCAATTCAACAACTTCACACATACCTTGAGTTTCTTCAGTTTTGAACACTCGAAAAAGACGTGTTGCTAAAAACCCAAATTCTCTCTCACAGGAATCTGAAAGGGTGGCAATCATTTCAGCCATTGAGGTTTCTCCACCTACACTGGACAATCTATTGTAATCTGTAAAGAGAAACCTTAAACAACAAATAATTGCAGATTTGTTACTGATTGGTACAAATTAAGTTTTTTTGTTTTATTAGAACATTTTAAAATTGCTGAGCTTTCATTACCAATCTCATGGTTTTCATTTTAATGTATTATTTGATTATTAAAGAAATGATAAATTCATTCATTCATTCCGTTTTAAAAGAGTATCAGGTAACATTCCTTTAAAGATTGCAGATCGGTATTTCTAGCAAATCTGGGCCGTAATAAAGGTCTTACAACATTAAACCTTTTAAAAGCCATTCTCTGTAACAAAACAGTATTATCAATGGTTCTTACCTGACGGGTAAAGCTTTAGTAGTTTGCTCCGGCAGTTCAGGTGGGTTCACAAACATGAGTTTAAGAAGTAATTCCATGTAGCCAATATGTCTTGCCAATCTTGTGCTAAGCACCCATGCCCAATTCCAATTTTCTCCTTCTCTTCGGCTCCCAAAATATATTACAGCTAAAACAAGATGGTTTAAATATTTTAAATGTTAATATCATTTGTCGAAATTATTACAAGAACTTATGTTATACACTTTAGCCTACATCACTGCTATACAAGAAAATAATATATTTTCATTCAGTCCCACAGCATTTTTGAGGATAAAACAAAGGAATTTGGTTTATTAAATGTTTTCTTATGATACATACAAATCAGCAAACATAGTGGCTTTTAACATATTATAGTTAATTAATAAGACACTTGCAATCTACATGTAACTTGCATGTCCACATACCTTCCCCTCTTCCCTTTCTATTTTATCCCTATTTAAATATTAGATCAGTCTAGTCACTATATGCATCTGATGAAGTGAATTCCAATTCACCAAAGTTTATGCTTTTTAATACAATGTGTTAGTTGGAAAAGGTACTATCAAATTCTTTTATTTATTTATTTGCTACCATAAATTAACACGGCTCTCCTCCTACGTCTACCCAATATATCCTTTTACATTTACAGGTGGTCCTTTATTTACAACCGGTCATTTAATGCCCATTCAAAGGTACAGTGGCTTGGAAAGGATGCTTTACTGCCCATAAAGCACTTCTGACCATTATAGAGTTTGCGCCATGCCCTCGCCCCTACAGGCCCATGGTCGCAGGCTTTGTCCTCGGCAACCTGTTCACTTATAACCAGTTGCCAAGCCATCCTGTGATTTCATGTGATGCCACTTGCAATCATCTCCCCTCCAGCTTCTCCAGACTGTCAATGAGGAAATCAGAGGGAGATGGTTGCAAGTTGCTGCCACCATCTGCCATAGAGCTCTTCTGAGAAGAAGAGCCAAGGTGGCGCAGTGGTTAAATGCAGCACTGCAGGCTACTGCTAGATCAGCAGGTCAGCGGTTCAAATCTCACCGGCTCAGGGTNTACAAATAAGCAATTAGAGTGCAAAAGATTAGAAACAAATTATATGCTTATTCCTCAATACTACACTGGCAAACTGTTTTCAGCATGAAGACCAAGATTATAAATGTTTGGCACTGATAAGTAAACATACCTGTCACAGAAACAATATTAAGCAATCGCCTCATTGTCTGTGGGCTAATATCACTGAACCAGTCTTCTGTAACCAGTAGCTTGGTCAGATCAAAAGACATCTGACGTGTAATGGTACGCTGCATTTGCCTTCTTCTGTAGGTATCCTAATATTTTAAAAAAAGTGGTGTGGTTATAGTATTTTCAGATACAGTGTGCCAGGAATATGGATTTTTTTTTAAATCTCAGAATCCCTTTAAACCAGTGTTTCTCAACCTTGGCCACTTGAAGATGTCTGGACTTCAACTCCCAGAATTCCCCAGCCAGAATTCTGGGAGTTGAAGTCCAAACATGTTCAAGTGGCCAAGGTTGAGAAACACTGCTTTAAACCTTTTCATTACTTCTCAAATGTTATTAAACTTATTACTGGAGCTCTATATAATTAAATAATATATAATTTACCCCAAATGTTTTGATTGGAATTTGCCTTATCAGAAGCTCACCTACAATGCAGCATAGAAATGTATTAAATAATATCGCATCAAGTCAGATTAAGATCCCAAGGATCACTTTCAAGTAGTAATTTGCATCGATACAGAAGCCTATCTTTTTTTCTTTTTCTACCCAGCAGAAAGTAAAAGTTGTCAATAAAGTTGTAAGAGATTCCATTTCCTCATTTGCGTGCCAAATCTGTAGAAACACATAGCTTGAAGGTTTTCCATCCCATCTAAATTAGATCCAGCAAATCCCACTTAAAACCTATTGGACAACTGTTTGGTAGAACATATTCAATGATTTTTCTTCCATGACTGCCAATTTCTTACCCTTCTATTGAGAGCTGTTTTACTTCCAAGTTTAGTCACATCTCCCAGGCTATTCTGTGAAATTCTTCGATCAATGTCGTCGTGAAATCCTAAAAATATTTTCTGATTAAAATGCAATTCTAATATACTATAGGTTATTAGCACCTTTTTAAATTCTGCCTTTGTATTCATAAAATGCTCAAAGCAATATAAAAATACAGCAAAATTAAAAACTACCTGTGAAAATAAATCTACTGCATATGCACATTCTCTCTCTCTAACTCTTGCTCTCTTTCCCACTCCCTCCCTCCCTCTGTCTATCCAGCTAACACTAATAATCTTATTTCTTATTTATAATTTGGCTACCATACCTGAACTATCTGTATATGGAACATCTCCATTCGTGGTTGCAACTAGCATCATCTTTTTAGCACCACTGAGTCCACGACTATTAAGAAATACAGGTAAATGAACTATATTCCTCATGTAATCATGTCCATTTATATTTGAGTCTCTTAGTACACTGTTCAGATTCTGATTAATTGCCTTGATGATGATATGGGGATCACTAGCAAAAATGGCAATAAATGGACCTTTAGAAAAAAGGACTCGGACCTGTGAAAAGTAAAGAAAATTAATTAAACAGAGGGAGGGAGGGAGGGAGGGAGGGAGGGAGGATCACAACTAGTTCAGGGCACAATTATTATGTAGTACTTTGGGATGGAAAATATGTCCCATTGCTGTTTTCTTCTGATTACATATATTATAACTAGTATATATCACAACTCATGCATTTTGCCTACCACTGTAAACATTTAAATATTTCTTAAGACATAAAATGTCTGGCAGGCAATATATGTGAAATAGAGTTTTCATTATGCCCAACAGACTGCCTGGACAATGAAGCTTTCCTTGAGCTAAATGCAGTCTCCATATTGTTCCTGAGATGGCTTAAGAAATGGCTCAAAGCACTGTGGCATGGAGTGAGAAACAGGAGTGCCTCCACTAATCCATGATCACTACATTAATTGACTATCATGTTAAAATTAGCAAGTTTTTGTGTTTATAATTAATTTTATAAATTTCTACTTAGGAATAAGTTCACTGAATTTATTGAGAGGTTTCCAACACAAACATGCACAGGATTGAGCTGCAAATCTCAGTGAAAGCAGTGAAATAAGTAGCTGTAATTTGTTCCATTGATTTAAGAAAGAATTAATTGGCTATATGAATTAAAGCAAATTATTACAACATTTCCAATGTCTTGCCTCAAAATCATATTTGAAAGGCAAATCAATTAAACACTCACTGTATCAAGCATCTGTAAAACTTTATCCTGTTCACAGGCATCCAATCCATCAATAATTACTACAAGCCTGGTTTGATTCTGAGTAAAGCTATCTATAGTTTTTGCCATTTTTGCCATCAGCTCCACTTCACATTTAAGAACCTACAAAAATAAAAATACAGTAATCTTAACATCAATCCTACAAACATGTTAAAAGAGGCAAACTTCTAATTTAAATGCCATAGATATAGCTTTTTTCCCCCAGTATTTAAAGTAGCAAAATCTTTTGAGTCATTTTACTCATGTTTAGTTTCCTACTTCTGCGGTCCCCAACCTTTTTTGAACCAGGACCAATTTCATGGAAGACAATTTTACCACGGACCGGGGGGGGGGGGAGGTGGTTTCAGTTTCGCTCACTCATCTGCTGCTTCACCACCAGCTGTGCAGCCTGGTTCGTAACAGGCCATTAACATGAACCAGTACTGATCTGTGGCCCAGGGTTGGGGATCCCTGATCTTATTAATAAAATGCTTTATTTTTATGAGTCTTCATGATCAATTACAAGTTAAATTAAATTCAGAAACTGCAAAACTGATTCAGGAACATTCCAGACAGCCTTAGAACATTCCATTCCCCTTCCATTCCAGGAAAGCTTGTGACGGTTTCCAAAACTGAATCCTTCAAACCAGAACTGTTTGTCTGCCTCTGCTTGAGAGTAGTCTGCCTCTGAAATGGGCCTGTTTCCTTTAGAAAAAATATATGCAGAATGCTTTAAACCACTTCCAGTTTGGGGTATTTATTTCTGGACAACTACCTTATTGTCCTAACAGCATAATCTAGAGGGGAAACCAAATGTTCTGCTATTCTCTGGAACATTTCATACCTAAATTGTTATGTTCTGCAGCTCCTTAAACAAAACTCACATAATTCAAAACTCTATATGATATAATACGTACTTTCATAAACCCCTCACTCTTCAGTTTGTGTAGTTTTGACGCAGCACTGTGAAGCCGTTTTCTCTGTGAATTTAAGATGGAGTCCATCACTTGCCACCATGTGCGACAGTTCAAGATAAAGCTCAAACCCACAACGCATAAAAATGAAATCAAAATAGCATTCACGGTCATGTTTTCAGGATTCACTTTGAAATAGGCTATAAGAGTTATCCCAGCAACAATGCAGCTCAGAATAAAGAGGAAGATAACGAAAGATGGGAGACAGCAAGTTTTTTTCCATTTCTTTTTACCTAGGAGAAAAAGCAGCAATTGGTAAATACATAATTTATAACTTCAAACACATACATTTTACATCATTTATATTCCGCCTTCTTGCTTACTAAGCACCCAAGTCAACTAACTACAAAAAAATTAAAAACTCACAAAACAATTGATCATTATTCTTAATCAAATTAAAAACAATGGCTAAATAAAAAGGTTTAAATCTTTTCTTGAAAACAGAAAAAACAGGGGTTGAATTTTATTCATGTATTCTGTAAGTTGGATATGATAGAAGAAAAGGCCTAATTCTGGTTGCCTAATAAGTGAAGCTCATTAAAGTTAGGATAATTTTAAGTGAAACTCTCCTGTTGCCCTTGTAAAGCCCAAGAAATTCTTACTTTAACATTTTCTAGAGTCCTTATATCTACACAACAACATTCTGTATTCTTTTTGCTTAAAGGATGTAAGATCCCATCCCCTTTAAGTCATGGAAATTTTGCAACTCTGTTTCCCACTTGGACAGAGCCGAGGTGGCGCAGTGGTTAGAGTGCAGCATTGCAGGCTACTTCAGCTGACTGCAGTTCAGCTGTTCAAATCTCAACGGCTCAAGGCTGACTCAGCCTTCCATCCTTCCGAGGTGGGTAAAATGAGGACCCGGATTGTTGTTGGGGGCAATATGCTGACTCTGTAAACCGCTTAGAGAGGCCTGAAAGGCCTATGAAGCGGTATATAAGTCTAACTGCTATTGCTATTGCTATTGCTAA